GAGCTCTCCATGAAAATTGTGGCATACTCCAAGGCGCTAACATTGAAGATAGTGAAGTAATTGAGAAAAAAAAAAAACGGTGAAAGTGGTAAATGAAAACAAAGAAAAAAATAGAAAAATAAATTTAAATAAAATATTAAATTAATCACAACAAAAAATAAATAAATAGAAATAACAATAAAAATAATTATAAAAAAATACAAAAAAATTTTATTTCATTATTTTTGTTCTCTTACTTTAATGACCGCATTTTATTAATAAATATTGAAAATATCGAATTCTTTTGTGAGAAGACTTACAGTGAAATTCGATGCAGAATATTTGCTTCTTTATAAGCATGCGTCTAAAATGCAGGTTTATAGGAAATTTTAATCCTTTGTGGAGATTAACCAAGAAAAAGTAATTTCGTAAATTTTTGGGCAAACTGATATTTTAATGATATATGTGAGATTTACAGAATTTTCGTTGTTGAAGACTCATAATGAAATTAGGTGTAGAATATTTCTTTCTTTGGTAGTCTGCCACTAAAATGCTTTTTTATAAGAAATTTTTGCCCTTTGTGAAAACTTAAAATAAAAATAAATAAAATTTTTTTATTCATTTTTTTTAATTTAAAGCCATTTTTTAATAATAAATATTTAAAACTCCCATTTCTTATGTGAGAAGACATATAGTGAAATTCGATGCAGAATATTTGTTCCCTTATAAGTATGCCTCTAAAATAAGTTTTTATATGAAATTTTAGACCTTTGTGAAAACTAACCAATAAAAAGTAATTTCGTCATTTTTCGGCATAGCCAATTAGCAACTTGTAGTTTAACGATATATATGACACTAACAGAATTTTCCTTGTTGAAGACCCCTATTGAAATTCAATGTAGAATATTTGTTTCTTTGATAGTCTGCCACTTAAATGAGATTTTATAGGAAATTTCAGCCCTTTGTGAACACATAAAAATCAAATACGAATTTTTCATTTATTATTTTTTTCTAATTTTAAGGTCCTTATTTTAATAATAAATATTTAAAATTCCCATTTATTTTGTGAGAAGACTTATAGTGGAATTCAATTCAGAATATTTGTTTCTTTATAGGTATGCCTCTAAAATGCGGATTTATAGGAAATATTAACCCTCTGTGGAAAATAACCAATAAAAAGTAATTTCTGCATTTATTTTGGGCATAGCTAATTTGCAACCGATATTTTAATGATATATATAAGACTTATAGATTTTTCGTAGATGAAGACCTTTAATGAAATTCGACTCAGAATATTTCTTTCTTTACTAGTATGCCGTTAAAATTAGATCTTGTGGGGGATTTCAGCCCTTTGTGGTTATAAACACCAATAAAATTCTTTCTTTTCGATATACCCAATTTGCAACTGATATTTTCAGGACTTATATTACATCTACTCACTTCTATTGTTTTAAGACCCATAGTGAAATTCGGTGTAGAATGTTTGTTTCCTTTATCATCTGCCTCTAAAATGAGATTTTCTAAGAGATTTAAATCCATATTTAACAATTCGTAAATCATGGCAAATTTTCAAAAATATTTTTTTTACCAAAATTAATGCTCATTTTTTATGGTTTCTTTTTGAGCTACTGATTTTTTTTTTGTTCTGAGACTTATAACGAAATTCGCTATAGAACATTTGTTTCTTTGTCGATTAGACTTAAAAATGGGAATTTGAGGGCGATTTTCAGCCATTTTGAGTACTACCTCTAACAGAAGTAATTTAACCAATTCTTTTTAAAGCCACCCATTTTGATACCGTTATTTACTTGATATAAACTACATCTACAGGTTTCTATTGTTCTGAGACCTATAATGAAATTTGACATAGAACATAGTTTTCTTTGGTATTAACTCACTAAAATAAATATTTTTAGGAGTTTTCGACCAATTCTTAAACATAAACAAAAGAAACGGAAATATTTTTTTACCAAAATTATTGCTCATTTTTATGGTTTCTTTTTGAGCTACCGATTTTTTTTTTGTTCTGAGACTTATAACGAAATTCGCTATAGAATGTTTATTCCTTTGTCGACCATCCTCAAAAATGAGATTTTGTGGAAGATTTTAACCCATTTCGGATATTAACCCTAAAAAACGTAATTTTATTATTTATTTTTGAAACTACAATTTTGATACCGTTATTTTCCTGCTATATACGACATCTGCAGGTTTCTCTTGTTCTGAGACCTATGAAATTTTATATAGAAGATAATATTCTTTAGTATTAACTCCCTAAAATAAATATTTTTGGGAGTTTTCGACCAATTCTTAAATCCAGCCAACTGAAAAAAACTATATTTTTTACCAAAATTGATGTTATTTTTTCTTAGTTTATGTTTGAGTTATAATTTTTTTTTGTTCTGAGGACCATAGTGAAATTCGATAAAGAATATTTGTTCTCTTGATGATCTGTCTCTAAAGTGCGGATTTGTCGGTGATTTTGCGCCATTATGCATCTAAATCCTTAATAAAGTTATTTTGCAGTTTCTTTTCAACACACCCACATTGTTACCCATAATTTCTGAAGATACGTAACAAATACCGATTTTTGTTGTTTGGGGACTTATTGTGAAATTCGGAGTAGAATATTTGTTTCCCTTATGACCCGTCTCTAAAATGAGATTTTGTGGGAGATTTTAACATATTTTGCATATTAACCCCAACAAAAATAATTTTACAATTTCTTTTTAATATAACCATTTTTATACCGTTATTTCCCTGAGATATAGTACATCTACAGGTTTCTTTTATTCTGAGACCCATAGTGAAATTCAATGTAGAATATTTGTTGCCTTTATGACCTGCCTCTAAAACGAGATTTTGTGGGTGATTTAAACTCATTATTTGTCTAAACAATAAATAATGTAATTTTGCAGCTTCTTTCCATTATACCCTCATAGTTACCGATAATTTTAGGGTATTTATTAGAGTTACAGATTTTTATTGTTCAGAGACTTATAGTGAAATTCGGTGTAGAATATTTGTTTCTTTTATGAACTGTCTCTAAAACGAGGTTTTATGACAGATTTTAACCTATTTCGGATATTAACCCAAACAAAAATAATTTTACAATTTCTTTCTAATGTAACCATTTTTATACCGTTATTTTCCTGATATATATATAATATACAGATTTTCTTTATTCTAAGACCTATAGTGAAATTTAATGTAGAATATTTATCACCTTTATGAGCTGTCTCTAAAATGAGATTTTGTGGGTGATTTAAACTCATTATTTGTCTAAACAATAAATAATGTCATTTCGCAGCTTCTTTCCAATACAACCTCATTGATATTTTTAGTATATATATTGGAGTTACAGATTTCTATTGTTCAGAGACTTATAATGAAATTCGGTCTAGAATATTTGTTTCCTTTATAACTCGTCTTTACAATGAAATTTTGTGGGAGATTCGAACCTATTTTGAATACCAACCTTAACAAAAGTAATTTTACAATTTCTTTCTAATATAACTATTTTTATACCTTTATTTTCCTGATATATGTACTGTATACAGATTTACCTTATTCTGAGACCTATAGTAAAATTTAATGTAGAATATTTATCTCCTTTATGACCCGTCTCTAAAACGAGATTTTGTGGGTGATTTAAACCCATTATGAATCCTATCTCTAAAAAATACATTTTGCAACTCCTTTTCGGTACACCGTCATTGTTACCGACATTTTGGAGGTATATGTTAGAGTTACAGATTTCTGTTGTTCAGAGACTTATAATGAAATTTGGTGCAGAATATTTGCTTCCTTTATAACTCGCGTCGAAAACGAGATTTTGTGGGAGATTTTAACCTATTTTGAATACCAACCTTAACAAAAGTAATTTTACAATTTCTTTTTAATATAACCATTTTATACCGTTATTTTCCTGATATATATCACATCTACAGATTTCTGTTGTTTTGAGACCCATAGTGAAATTCGGTGTAGAATATTTGTTTCCTTTATGACTCGTCTCTAAAACGAGATTTTGACCTATTTCGGATATTAACCCAAACAAAAATAATTTTACAATATCTTTTTAATATGACCATTTTTATGCCATTATTATCCCGATATATATAATCTCTACAGATTTCTTTTATTCTGAGACTTATAGTGAAATTCAATGTAGAACATTTGTTTCCTTTATGACCCGTCTCTAAAATGAGATTTTGTGGGTGATTTTAACTTATTATGCATCCTAACTCTAAAAAATACATTTTGCAACTTCTTTTCGATACACCCTCATTGCTACCGACATTTTCGAAGTATATATTAGAGTTACAGATTTCTGTTGTTCGGAGACTTGTAATGAAATTCGATGTAGAATATTTCCTTCTTTGATAGTCCAGCTCTAAAATGAGACGTTGAGGCAGATTTTTATTCTTTCTTGAAATAACCTCAAAAAAATAATAATTTTTTAAACACCCCTTTTGAGATTTCCATTTTATATCCGATATTTTCTAGATTTATATAATTTTTACAGATATTGTGTCTTCGGTGACTCATAGTGAAATTTAATACAGAATATTTTTCTCATTGACACCGAATCGCTAAAATGAAGATTTTTGGGAGATTTCGACCAATTTCGGAAACCCTTTTAAAGTACACAGAAAAATCCTATTTTAGTCTTATTTTCGATTAATTTAAATACAAAATTATTTTTTATTGCATAAATTTATTTTTTATTTACTTTTTTTACTAATATTTTTAATATCTATATTTAAATATAAAAAATGCGAAATATATGCATTGAATATTTCGGATTTTTTTTATATTTTTTTTTACAACATTTTGTATATTTTTGTTAATTTATGAAAATTTGAAAAAAATCGGTTATTTTAGATTTTGTGAAATATTTTAAATATATTAAATTTTTTATTTTGAAAATAATTATCTTTTTCGTAATTTTTTTTAAAAAAATATAAATATATTATAATTTAGTAACTGTCTCTCAAGAAATATAAGAAAAATATAGGAAAAAGCAAGCACCATCGAAAAAAAAACTAAGTGAAAATAATGGTGTGAAAAACAATAAAAGTGAAAACTTATTCCAAAAAAGTCACCCAAGTGCTAGAAAAAATAAAAAAAATTGAAATCAAACTACATTTGAATTCAGTGTAACAATCAAAACAAAAAAATAATAAAGAAAAAACAACAAAACTTAACGTGTCTAAAAAAACTCTCATCTCTCTCTCTGAATCCAATTACTGCTGTGTTCATTTCCACGATGAGTGCCCAAAACATGCATTACTTAACGGTAAACGATGAGGATTTCTATTACAAGGCATCATCGTCCAAGCTCTCACCGAATCGTCACAAACACAAAGAACGTTCAGCCTCTCCCATGGCCATGTCATACGAATCATCGTCGATGGCTTCGATGGCATCAACACCCGACCTGAGTTCCGTTAGTGAAATGTGTAAGTATGAAGTAGAAGAAGAAACTGGATAATTGGCTCTCTTTCATTATCATCATCATTGGAGAAATAGATTTATGAAAGAGAGTCACGGATATTTTTGGCATATTGCTTAAACTCCCTATCGAAAAGGGGAAATTAGGAGTTTTAAAAGATTTTTTTTCAAATGAGATGGGATTCTCTCTTCTCTTTCTCTCTGAGCAATGCGAAAATAAGAATTTGAATAGATAAAGTTAGGTTTCATAACAAAAGAAGACATCTTTGGGACATGCTACTCAAAAGGTTAATAATTATGTGAACAGTGTGGTTAACACTTCTTGGAGAAAAAACGCCAAATTTAACGCTTTTCTTTTTTTAATACTCATATTGTATTTTCATAATACAAGTTGATGTTTTGGAATTTATTTAGCCAAAATTTTTGTTGTCAACGCTTAAAATAAAAAATCGCTAAATCACAGAAATAATGAAAAATTACATTTTTCTTTCAATATATAACTCAAAAATGAGGATCGTTTTTATAAACAGTGCAGCCCACCCTCCAGGCATGAAAAAAACGCCAAAATATACCCAATTCAATATGCCCTTTATTGAGATCTTTTACATAAATGCTCACAACGAAAGGTCATATCGTGTAATTGATTTACCTAAAATTGTATTGATTTCACAAAAACAGTGTTGCCAACACTTGAGGCGAAAAAAATCGCTAAATTATTTAATACCTTCAGATTATGTGTTATACCAATCAATAACTTAAAGAAATAAAAATAATTAAAATTTCATGTTTCAGAGAGTTGCCAACAGCTCAAGAAAAAATCGCCAATTCGTTATGTCAACTATAATTAATTATTATATTTTTCTTTCAATGGAAAACTAACTCTCTTTAATTTTTATAACAAAAGTATGTTTAGTAAAATCTGTTTTTCCAAAAAAATTGAAACAGTGTTGCCAACAATAAAATCGCTAATTTGTCAAATTTTCTAAAAACTGAATTTTTACCTTGGAATGATTAAAAATCTCCTTATTTTCCATTTCCATAGCAAAAGTAGAGCAGAACAGTGCTGCTATAATTTTTAACAAAAAAATCGCGTATTTGGAAAATTTCACAAAAAATTAATTTTTTTTTCGCTAATTGACTTTAAAAAACACAACCTATGCAATAACCCCGAAAAACATTGATTTCAGTGATGCTAACACATCATTCAGAAAAAACGCTAAATTTAATAGAAAAATCGAGTTTGTTTTTTTCATTTAAAATTTTATATCTTCCATGGCAAAACAGTGTTGCTAACACTTTTAGAAAAAATCGTCAATTTTTTTTTTATTAAAAACGCATTCTTTCGCTAAATTTCATGAGATCTCGTAACCAAAATATTATTGATTTCATGATCAGTGTTGCTAACGTCACTAGGGAAAAAATCGCCACAATTTTAATTTGATTAAAATCATAATATATTTCACCAATGACATTATTTCTCCTATTGTATTGAAAATATTTACTCTAAAATATTTTCTTGCGAAAAACAGTGTTGCCATTACTTTTTGGAAAAAACGCCAGTTTCTATTTTCAATTAAAACCGAAATATATGTCTTCCTTAGTATTATTTTCACATTGAATTGAATCTCTTACTGATTTATATGTTGATTTTCTACATAGAGTGTTGCCAACACCTTTAAGAAAAAATCGCCAATTTATTATTTTATTAAAAACGCAATCTTTTGCTAAATTTCATGAAATTTCTTAACTCAAAATATGACTGATTTCACGAACAGTGTTGCTAACGTCTCTAAAGAAAAAACGCCAAAATTGTAATTCAATAAACAACATAATATACTTCACCAAGTACATTATTTTCCCCAATTACATTAAAAATCCTTAATCCAAATGAAGTTAATTTCCTTACAAACAGTGTTGACAATATTTTAAATAAAATATCGCCAATTTATTATTTTATCAAAATCGTAATTTTACCCTCCATGAAATACCCTCATGAAATCTGAATACTCAAAGGTTATTGATTTCATGAACAGTGTTGCAAACGTCACTAGAGAAAAAAATCGCCAAAATTTTAAGTCGATTAAAACCATAATTTATTTCATCAATGGCATAATTTTTCCCATTACATTAAAAATCCTTAGTCCAATATAAAGTTGATTTCCTTACAAATAGTGTTGGCAATACCTTTAAGAAAAAATCGCCAATTTATTATTTTATCAAAATCGTATTTTTACTCTCCAATTCATGAAATCTGAATACTTAAAGGTAATTGATTTCATGAACAGTGTTGCAAATGTCACTAAAGAAAAAATCGCCAAAATTTTAATTCGATTAAAGCCACAATATATTTTATCAATGACATAATTTTTCCCATTGCATAGAAAAACCTTACTCCAAATGACGTTCATTTCCTTACAAAGAGTGATGCCAACACCATGAGCAAAAAATCGACAATTTACAAATTCAATTAAAATCACCTTTTTTCGTCCCGTTTCAGCCCTCGATCAAGCCGATCAAAGCAGTTCCACCGATTCCAGCCCCTCGCTGTCTAAGAAACGACCACGTTCCATAGAAAATCTCTGCTTTGGCATGCGTAATCGCAAGAAATTACATCGTAAAATCAAAGTGAATGAAATACAACGCGGACGTTGTTACACCGACTCGGATTTGAAGAATAACAAAAAACCGATAAAATATCAGGTACCAATTCTGAAGTTTCCCACCGATGATGAGGGTGCAAATAATGGGAACAACGACGATTACGAAGGCAGAGATGATTATGAGGCCAATAGTGATGTACCCAGTAGTGGTGGTGGCGGAAGTGGACGCCGGGGTATTGGTTCGCTGTTAAAGCAAACGTTAAAAGTTACATCAGCATCGATGGGTTTTCGTACTCTCAGCGTGGAAAGGTAAGTCTAGAAGGGGGGTTGGTGCGTAAAGAGGGGGTTAAATGTATGGGGAAGAAAACTACATTTCAAGGTTAGCTATTGCATGTCTGCGGCGCGTTTATGGCATAATCAAAATATTTATCTAACAAAAAAAGCAAATATTTTATGACGTCTAAAAAACAAATCCTCTTAGGGCACATTTTTTCTTTGTCATTTTTTTGTTGTTTGTTTTTTTCTTGTTTTCTATTTCAAAGGGTTTTTGGGGGCGTCCCTAATCGCTTGTCGGTTTAGTTGTTTATCTGGCGGTTGTTTGAACTTGTGCTCATTGGAAACACCGAAGAAGAATTACGGAAATATTTTCAATTGTCAAGAAAAGAACAAAAACAATAATTCCGATAATATTAGCAAATTATGTGGGGGCGATAAATGAAAATTAAGTTTCGCAATGGGGCGATAATTGGTAAAAATTAAATATTTTTTAAATAAAAAAATATTTTTTTGTTGAAAAAAGTTCAATATTTTAAAATTTACCCTCAAAAATACTAGGGCGTGTGATTAATATTAATAGAAAAAATAATTAAATTAATCATACGCACCATAAAACTCGAAAAAGAAAAAATGCCAGGCAATATTTTAAATGTGCCTTAAGGTATGCAATACTTTTAAAATCAATTATTTTTATTTTTTTCGAAATGTAGAGTTATTAATAATAATTGAATAAAATAAATAAATAATTTAAAAAATATTATTATTAATTAATACCCTTATTATATAATACCCTTAGTGAGGTAGAAAATCAAAAATTCAATTTTTAACCAATATTTTTATGGATAATTAATAACCCTATAGATTTCTTATGTTCAATGACCCCTAGTGAAATTTGATAGGGAATATTTTTTCCATTGGCGTCAACCCTCCAAAATTACGTTTTCAGCTAAATTTCGCCATATTTTAAAAACTCTCCAAATTTTCGAAAAAAATTGCTAAAAATCATGATTCTTTTTTATTGATATATTTTCGACATAAAGTTTTCGCTTGTTCGGAGACCTATAGTGAAATTTAGTCAGGATTATTTTATACTTTCACAGAATCCCCCTAAAATGCCATTTTGTTGGACATTTTATGCCGTTTTGGATATTACTCCCAAAAATCGCACTTTTAAAATATTAGTTTTCATAAGCGTATTTAATCTGAAAATTTTTAGTTAGATACTGCATTTACCGATTTCTTGTGTTCGATGACCCATAATGGATTTTGATAAGGAATATTTCTTTCATTGGAGTCAACATCATAACATTTCGTTTTCAGCAAGAATTTGGGTGATTTTAAGACCTTTATAAATTTTATAAAAATATTCTTTTCTAAAATTTAACTGACAATTTTATTGATATATGTTCAGATTACGGATATCTTCTGTTCGGAGACCTATAGTGAAATTTAGTAAGGATTATTTTATCCTTTTACAGAATCCCCCTAAAATGCCATTTTGTTGGACATTTCAAGCCATTTTGGATATTACTCCCGAAATTGGCGCTTTTAAAATATTAGTTTTCATAAGCGTATTTAATCTGACAATTTTTCGTTATATATTGCACCTACAGATTTCTTGTGTTCGGAGACCCATAGTGGAATTTGATAAGAATTGTTTTTTCCATTGACACTAACTCTCTAAAATTACATATTCAGTTCGATTTCCGCTTATTTTAAAACCTCTGTAAATTTTACAAAAATATCTTCTTTTTACTAAAATTCGTGTGGCATTTTTATTGATATATGTTCGAGTTACGGATTTTTCTTGTTCGGAGACCTTCAGTGAAATTTTATAAGGATTATTTTATCCTTTTATAAAATCCACATAAAATGTGATTTCCTTGGACTTTTTAAGTCGTTTTGGACATTAATGCACAAAAAACGCACTTTTAAAATGTTAATTTTCATAAGCGTATTTAATCTGAAATTTTTTAGTTAGATACTGCATTTACCGATTTCTTGTGTTCAGTGATCCACAGTGGAATTTGATAAGAAATGTTTTTCCCATTGGCACTAATTCTCTAAAATTACATTTTCAGCTCGATTTCCGCTTATTTTAAAACCTCTGCAAGTTTTACAAAAATTTCTTCTTTTTGATAAAATTCGTGTGGTAATTTTATTGATATATGTTCGAGTTACGGATACCTCTTGTTCGGAGACCTATAGTCAAATTTTATAAGGAATATTTTATCCCTCTAAAATGAGATTTTATGGGAGATTTTAAGCCTTTTTGAATATTACTCCAAAACAAAGCTCTTTTTTAAATGTAAGTTTTTATTGCCCTTCTTAATATGATATTATCTAGTTTTATATAGCATTTACAGGTTTCTTGTGTTTGGAGACCCATTGTAGAATTTGATAAGGAATATATCATCTATTGGAGTAAACCCTATAAAATTTCGTTTTCAGCTAATTTTGGTTGATTTTAAGACCTCTATCAATTTTACAAAAATATTTTATTTGTAAAATTTAAGTGGACATTTTATTGATATTTGTTCAAGTTGCGTATACCTCTTGTTCGGAGACCTATAGTGAAATTTTATAAGAAATACTTTATGCATTTATAGAATTTTTCTAAAATGTGGCTTTTTGGGAGATTTTCAGCCTTTTTGAATATAACTCCAAAAAAAAAAAACTTTTTAAAATGTAAGTTTCCATTACCTTACTTAATATGATATTATCTGGTTATATATGGCATCTACAGATTTCTTGTATTCGGAGACCCATAATGGAATTTGATAAGGATTGTTTTTTCCATTGGAGTCGACCCCATAAAATTTGGTTTTCAGCAAAATTTTGGCTGATTTTAAGACCTCTATAAATTTTACAAAAATATTTTCTTAATAAAATATATGTGTTCATTGATATATGTTCGATTTACCGATTTCTCTTGTTCGGAGACCTGTATTGAAATTTTATAAGGAATATTTAATCTCTATGTAGAATCTTCCCAAAATGTGGCTTTGTGCAAGATTTTAACATTTTTTGGGAAATAGACCACCAAAAACGCACTTTTAAAATTCTATTTTTAATACCTCAAATGTGTCTGATATTTTCTAGTTATATACCACACCTACATATGTTTTGTGCTTGAAGACCCATGATAGAATAAAATAAAATATTTTTTCCATTGACACCAAGTACCTAAACTGAAAATTTTTAAGAGATTTTGGCCAATTTTGAAAATTACCGAAAAAACATAGATATCTTTTTATGTCCAAAATTAATTGTTATTTTTTACGGAGATTACTTTGGACTAGGAATTTATTTTGTTTGGAGACTTATGCTAAAATTTGATGCAGAATATATGTCCCATTGACAGTCTGCCCATAAAATCTTGTTTTGTGGGAGAATTTGACCCTTTGTTGATATTAATCGCAAAAAGCCATTTTATTATTTTATTCTGACATATCAACAATGTAAACGATATTTTCTAAGTAAATATTATATTTGGGGACTTCTTGTCTTTGACAACCCATAGTAAAATTTTATAAGGAGTGTCCTTTCCATTGACACCAAGTACCTAAAATGAAAAATTTTGAGAGATTTTGGCCAATTTTGAAAAATCTCAAAAAAAAAACAATGATATATTTTTATGTCCAAAATTAATGGTTGTTTTTACGGAGATGCCTTGGGACTCGGAATTTATTTTGTTTGGAGACTTATGCTAAAATTTGATACAAAATATATCTTCCATTGACAGTCTGCCCATAAAATCTTGTTTTGTGGGAGATTTTGACCCATTGTGGAAGTAACACCAAAAACTCATTCATGGGAATTTCGTTTTGATGTATCCACAATATAAATAATATATATTCAGTGTAAATATTATATTTAAAGACTTCGTATCTTTGACGAACCATAGTGAAATTTTATAACGAATATTTTCTCCATTGACAGTCTGCCCATAAAATCTTGTTTTGTTGGAGATTTTGACCCATCGGGGATATAAAACCCAAAAAGGCATTTTATTATCTCATTTTGATGTCTCCACAATATAAACGATATTTTCTAACAATGTATAATATTTGGAGACTTTTTATGTTTGGAGACCTATAATAAAATTCGAGAATGAATATTATTTTCATTGACATAAATCCTCTAAAATGATGAATTTTGGGAGATTTCAAACATTTTGAAATGCTTAAAATTACTCCCAAAAATATTTTTTATGAAAAAAATTAAAGCTCACATTTTATGGAGATATCTTAAAGCTAGGAATTTCTCTTTTTCAGAGACTTTTAGTGAAATTCGATAAAGAATATTTCTTTCATTGGCACTTTGTCTCAAAAATGTCATTTTGTGGAAGATTTTTGCCTTTTTTGGACATAAATCCCAAAAACTCCATTTAAAAAATTGTATTTTATATATTCACAATGTAAACGATATTTTTTAACTACGTATAATATTTGGAGACTTTTTGTGTTTGGAGACCTATAATCAAATTCGAGGATGAATATAATTTTCATTGACACCAATCCTCTAAAATGAGGAATTTTGGGAGAATTCGACCAATAATGAAATGTTCAAAATTAATCCCAAAAATATCTTTTTATGTCAACATTAAAGCCCATTTTTATGGAGATATCTTTGAGCTAGGAATATCTTTTCTTCAGAAACTAATATTGTTATTCGATGAAAAATATTTTGTTCATTGACACTCTGTCCCAAAAACTTCATTTTGTGGAAGATTTTTTCCCCCATTTGGACATAAATTCCAAAAACTCCATTTAAATTCATATATTCACAATGTAAACGATATTTCTTAACTAAATATAATATTTAGAGACTTTCTGTGTTTGGAGACCTATAATAAAATTCGAGGATGAATATAGTATTCATTGACACTAATCCTCTAAAATGAGGAATTTTGGGAAATTTTGACCAATTTTGAAATGCTAAAAATTACTCCCAAAAATATATTTTTATGACAAAAAATTAAAACTCATTTTTTATGGAGATATGTTTGAGCTAGGATTTTCTTTTCTTCAGAAACTAATAGTGAAATTCGATAAAGTGTATTTCTTTCATTGACACTCTGTCCCAAAAATTTCATTTTGTGGAAGATTTTTGCCTTTTTGGGACATAAATTCCAAAAACTCCATTAAAAAAAAAATTATTTTATATATTCACAATGTAAACGATTTTTTCTAACAAAGTATAATGTTTGGGGACTTTTCGTGTTTGGAGACCCATAATAAAATTTGAGGATGAATATTATTTTCATTAACATTAATACTCTAGGTGAGGAATTTTGGGATATTTTGGCCAACTTTGAAATGTTGAAAATTAATTCCAAAAAAAAAAATATTTTTATGACAAAATTAAAGCTCACATTTCATGGAGATATCTTAAAGCTAGGAATTTCTCTCCTTCAGAGACTGTTGGTGAAATTCGATGTAAAATATATTTTCCTTTGACAGTCTGCCCATAAAATGT